CCATACATAAGAAGCTATCTTTTGATACAAATTTTCGAGTGGCATTCACGTCACCAACTTACCATTGATGGATATTTTCAATCCATGAAATGATGTCAGGTCTTTACACGAGCGTAAAGTTCGTTGACTTGTCATTTTGGAACCTTTTCGGTGTCCCCCTATAAAACACATTTGAAGAAAGATTTTGTTCATCGAGGCCAACGCAGAATAACCAATCGACCGGCAGAAACATACTAACCAGTGAATGAATACCGCGTAAGGTGATGTCGCACCAAATTCACACGGCAGCACGGGCCGCCAAAACCAAGGCAAAAGTGAATCCGCATCAAGGGCCGATCGCCCATGAAAAAGTGTCATTTTGATCCCAAAAGGACCTTTGACAATGAAAATCTTAGCCTGTGACCTAAGATTTTAATTGTCATATCTACACAGTAGCTATGCACACATGACAATAAAAGTCTTGAAACCTTGAAACTTGAAACATTCAACCACTGCTTACGGTGAGCTTTTAAACATAGTCACCATAATATCCGAAAGGACCTTTATAATCATTTATTTCTTGGAGACTTCCTGTAAATATTCTGTTTGACAGTAGAACATAGAATAACATATCATTGACATTTCAAGACTTTTACATTTAATTGATATTTCATCACATGCTGTTTGAAAATCATTTCCTGTATATTTATTATTTCATCCATACAGTTGGCATCTCTCCTTGGGTTGTATTTACAAAATCAAAAATGTTATAACCACAAAAGCGTACTGTTAGTTCATGTCCTTTCCCAAGTGGTAAGTGCATTCAAAACAGATTACTTAATTCCAGACCAAAACTCCCATTCCTGTTAACTTAATGACTGTTTTGGGTGAAGTGGTTAGGGAGTTCACACTTAGCGTAAACGAGATGGGATGGGTCATATCCATTCTGCTGACTGAGATGAGTCCTTTTGTGTTCCCTTTGTGATTCCTGAACAGTAGAGAAGTGAAACCAGAGGATTGTTTTTTTGTCAAAACACCGCTTGAGTGCCATCTCAGTCCACAGGCATCAATTTACACAAAGAGATTTCACTTTGACAGAATGAAGAACTGTTTGAAGCCCACCCTAAACCCTAGAAAGTCTGACTGACAGACACAAACTCATCTAAAATTACTGTAGAGTACCATTAAACCCACTTATCCCCCGTTCCCAATCCCCTGAAATCCATATCTAGATCCCCAACCCAGCAGGTGCCAGTCCGAGCCTTGGTATCACGGCGCCGTGGATAACATGGATGCCAGGCAGATACCTCCAGCTCTCCCCAGAAAGCCCCCTTGCCAACATGGCGCGTCCTGCACAGCCATGGTCATTCTTTCATTCTAACTAGATTAAGCTAATCACGTTATGTAGTGGTTAGGCGTAGCCGGCAGACAGAATGAAGGGCCCGCTGTCCTGCTGTTGCCATGTGTTTCTGAAACACAAACAGTGAACAGTCACATGGGGCTTCATAAACATTGAGGTACTTTCAGTCTGCCTGTGTTTCTAAACCTCCAAAGTAGTTGAATTATGGAAAACCAGTTTTAAGTAGTTTCAGAGCACCATCCTATTTGCAGAATCTCAATGCTTGTTAAAGATTTAAGAGAAGCTTGTGTTTACCAAAACATACTGCCATTTCTGTTACACATCTTTTTGCTGAAAGTTCATTATTGTTGCAAACCTATCGTCTAGTTCCAGTGAGGTTGGGTTGGCATTTTTAGTTTAATTTCTCACCACTCTCTGATGGCTTCCATGCTCCGTAGCTGGTGACTTGGGCGATCAATTCACTTATCGTGTAGTGTCATTATTAGGTCAATGTCCGGTGCCTTGCTAAAGGGCACCACGGCACGGTCAAGTAGCAATCCAAACCATCCTCCTGCTGCTCTTATACTTGAATAAGCTTAGTCAGATAAGCAATAATACAACTACTTAGTAGTACTCCCGACGGCCGGTATACTTTACAGTATAACGACAAATATTATGTCTATTAAGACTGTTTCTTCCCCATCCGGATCCATATGAAGGTCTCTGTATGAAGGCTATGTATTAACTATTTCCTGCTCTGCCTGGAAATAAGACGTCATGGTAAACAGATAAGAGACTTTCCTTCTGCTAAGTCAGTTCCTTCTGCTAATAACAGAGGAGAGGACAGTCCGTGAATTAAAGAGTGAGGAAAGTCCAACAGATACTCAGTTTGCTTAATCATTCAAGTGTTATGTCTGTACGGTGATTGCATACTCCAGGCCGCTTTTCCAACACGTTGCCTTTTAGGATTGATGAGAAGAGTTAAAAAGGTGTCATTAGTGGTTATAAGTTATGGTTGTTAGTCTGGGTATTTCTACAGAAATGGAGCTGCTATATTTTCCTTGGTGTACTTTGATATTCTATGATCTCCCCATATGAAAAGACTTGCGAGCAGTCCCCCAATGTGCCAACCACATGGCCCCTTTTAGCCCTGTCCAGCAGGCATAAAGACTTAATGGAAGCCTCATAGCTGGACGATAAACTGGCACATTCTGACTTAAACACATCTACTTTTTCCTTGTATAGAACATATGTTTTTAGGGCATGTAGGATGGGTATACAGTATAGGAAAAACAGCAGGCTGCAGACAGACATAGAGGGATGTTTAACTGGGCTGGGGAGCACTGTCAGGGAGTTTCTCTGAAGAGTTGCATAACACACCTGCAAGGAGGGAAATGAGAGGACAAGACAAAAGAAGGGAAGGGGGGAGGAAAGAAGGAGATTAGTCTGTGTTCTCTTTTTCATGAAACTTGGTGAAAGGCTGTAGCATGGGCCAAGGAAGAACCTATTCAAATGTGGAGGTGATCTAAATCACCTAAGGACACCTAAAATGTTTCGTTAAAATTGCGAAATTAGGCATTTGGCTTTAGCAGATGTGTCTCCAGGTGCGCTTATATTTGATTTGTGTGGCCAGGTGTTAATTTCCCATATAGCAAAGGAACTAATAATTGTTTGAACACCTGCACTTAAAAGAAAAATCAACAAAAACAACCCATAACAACTGAACCCACCTGGACTCATTGAAGTCCCATCAGGTCACAACTTTCTAACCTTCCACCTCTTCTGTCTTTGTTGTCTTCTTATCTGCAGCCGGAGGAGTTGGATGCTCTTCATTCCCATACGTTCAGGGTGAAGACGTTCAAGAAGGCCAAGCAGTGCAGCGTGTGCAAACAGACCATCAGCCAGGACGGACTCATCTGCCGAGGTCAGTCCCCTGTCCTGGAGATCTCTTGCACCTAATGTAGAAACGTTTTTTGGTGGTCCAACACATTGTTGGAAAATGTTTAAATGACTGACCTCTAGCTGTTTCACTTATCGTACTGCACTGGTGTTGAGGTGTACTCCAGGACACTGTGACATAACAGTTGCTGTGGTTATAGGTGTAACAACATTGTTCTCAACACAAGGTCTTTACTTTACTTTGCCTGGAAGCTGGGGTACAGTGGCCTATGGATCTCCAAGTAAATAAGGCAAACCCATAATATAATTCTAATCATTCTAAGAGTATGACACCATCTGTATTGGTTAAGTGTTGGAGAATCCCCCTCCCTTCCTGAAGGACTACTTAAAATCTTGTACCATAATGTCAACATTCACCACCACACGTTCTCTTGCTTAGTTCTTTTTCTGTTTAATATTGGTTTAATATACTATATCAAATGGAAAGACCACTCCAATGATGGCTTTACTTTACAGTTTTTTGGGGCCTGATGTACAATGTCGTCCAACTCCCCTCTGAAGGAAAGTTAAAAAAAACTAATTAAAATTAAAATTGAAACAAGCATCACAATATGCAGTCAGAAGCAAACTGGTAGTCTAAACTCAGACCTTTGATTATCCAAATGTCCCCACCCTTGAGATACTTCCCACTTACGAGAATCTTCACTAACTGCACCAACTTGCTGGGACAATGGAAGCAATATCTGTTACAACATCTATCAGTGGTCTAAATGAGGGGTCATCTGAGGTTACCTGGGGTCGTCTTTGTGTCAGAGTATTGTCAGTCAAGTGACAGAGCAGGGAAAGAAGCCTCACAGAGGCTCAAAGGTTAACAGCTTCTCAATATCCTTAATGGTGTTTACTGAAAAAAGGCAAGGTGGCTGACTGGTGTTGATGAGTGATCAGCAGGGTTTGGTTGTTGCAATCATCTTAAATAATATGACTCCACAAGGGTCCCAGTATCCAGCATTCATTTTGTGCTTTTATTGTTTTTTTTCTTAATGCAGGTGCCAGTTGATTACGTTTGAATTATACTGTGAAACAACTAACAATTGGAGGAAATTCAATGGGATTCAAAAATAGACTTTTATGAGGTCACCATTTTCTCAACCAGTAGATCTTCCCCATCTGGAATATCTGATCCCGGTCTGCTCACCACATCACATCATGTTATAGTGGAAATGTCTGTTTTCAGACAGATAACGTCAAGTGAAACCATGCGGAAACAGCTGGATGTTTGGTTTGGCACAGCGGGGGGGAATATTCAGCTTTCAGCCTCCCAAACCTGACACAGAACGGGTCGATGTTCGAAGGGCACAGCTTAGAAAAACAACAGCATTCTCTGCACACTGGCCTCCTTTTGGATTCTAAAGGCCGTTTGACAGAATTGCATTTTGTCTTTGTGCTAAACTTTGTGAAGGCTTGTACTCATGCTTGTAAAGTGACAGCTCTTAATCAAATAATTTAGTTGGTTCCAACTGTCCTTACTATACGGTAAGTATACGTAACTTTGTTTTGTTTTGATACCATTATTTATCCAGGGTTAGTCCCTTGCAGGTACACCCTGCTCCACATAACATTGTCACACATTTACTCCTAAAAGTTCTTCAGTACAACCCGAGTGGTGACCTCCAGTCTGAAAGTGAAGCCAAAGCTAAATCAGTGCCTTGAACCTGAGATCTCTCTAATATCCAGCATGGGCAACTCCTGTGGTTGCAAATAGCAGTCAGATTGAATATAAGTTTATAAAAAAAAAGCGCCCCAATTTCTGACTTAATTTATTACCTTATTTAACATTTTCCTGAATAATAAAGGATCTCAATCTGTAGTTTCAAGTCTTCTTACAGCACGATTTTCATTTTGTGAATTATGGTCCATTTTCCAACAATAAAGCTGCAGTGTCTGTATGCTTTCAGACAATGTGGTACAAATGTAAAATGTATGCAATATATAGTACATGCAGAATCCCAAAAAAGGTTAATGTATGATTCCTCAATACTTAACAGGTTAAAGGACTAGTGTGTTTAAGATGAACTATCTATGAGCATTATGTCACTTTATCGAACTATACAGTATGTAGTCAGAAGTGTTGCTTTACTGAGGCTCCTACCTGGATTATTTCTCCATGTGGCTACATGCTTAAATACATCTTAATAAATGACAGGTTAATATCTTAATGACAGACAGTGCTTTGTTACCGTCTCTAGGCACATGCATTATGCTACACACACATTGTAGGTGCAGTGTTCCCATGCATTACACTGAACATAGATGGCTCCATATTGACATCCCTGAGTCTCTCACCTCGAACACAGCTTGTGGTTTGGATCTCTGATTGTCTAGGAAAAGTTTGTTGTGTCGCCTCTTCCTTTATCTGCTGCTGAAAGAAAGGCCAATAAAAATAAATGCACGGTAACCCCCCCTGCATGTTACTCTGTGATCTAACTGCTGGTCCAGATGTTGTTGTTGAACTGTGGGATGTGTGTGTGTCATTAAATATTGATGTTGTCGTCTTTGCTTTGCGTGCTCAGTGCTACAGACAGCATTTTGCCTATGTTTGTATCTAGTGTGACCTATGATGTAACTTTATTATTATGAATATATGACTTCTCCTTAAGCCTCTAAGTAAAATAAATGGATGGCAGTCTTTTAAATCAATGGAAAAATAAATCTGTCCCTTACAATGTTACTGAACAGCAACATTTGAAAGAAAAGGATTTGATTACATTTAATGAAAGCAAGGTTTAATTTCCATGAATTGCACAAGCTGTTGCTATCACTCTTCTGGATAAATAATGTGTAGTTGTGTGTGCAGGCAGTAGAACTGATTTATAGAGGGAATAAACCCTCATGACAGGGCAGCATTTCACTCTATTCTGATTGACCTCAGTTGGCTTCTCTCTCCCCTATCATGTCTGGGTTTGGGTAATGTGTATACGCAAATAGGGTGTGTGTGTCTGTGTTTGTTGTTAAAAAAGATTCATGAGTACAACACAACGTGAACAGTATTTCTCTATCTGTCTTATGACTTAAAAACAAGTATATTCTTTTGGCAGGATCATTTCAGTTCATTAAGTTACAAGTTCTTCTTTTGACTTCTGAGCTTTTTAGTTTTTCACCTGGAAACAAGAATGCTTTTAGTCCTAACAAACATAGGGAAGAGCACCTTGTGTGGCCGACATGAGTATTACAACAGCAAGCAATAAGACAATTGGTGTTGATTCACCTCCCAAACTCAACATGTTTTCACAGATGGAAAAGGTTACTAATGGTCCTGCCAAAACTTGTCTTCACTAACCTGCCAACATTATTTTTCAGCACCAGTTCTTGACAGATCATATTTTTAAGGAACTCAGAAAATTATTAAAAAAATGTTGACCTAATTTTTAAGTCATAAACACAGGAGAGAACCCAAATTAGATCAGTCTTAGAAAAAGGACCACCAGATTGTCTTTTGTACTTGCATCTCAGGGCTTCCTTAGTTTGGAACATATATAGATACAGTTTTATCTAATTTGATTTCGACTCTAGCAGCTTGGAAAACACTTTATAAACGTACAGATAAAGCATTGAAACACTACAGATCATCAACATTCAAATATATTTTGTATAGATGTATGAATCAATGATTTATTACTCTGAAAGATGTTCTTCAGAATGAATCTCTCCCTCCGTCAGCCTGCTCTTGTTTACTAACAGTCTCCAGTCACATGGCCTCGTAAGGACACCAGCACTTCCTCTCTCTGTGTAGCGGTTGCCAGGATACAAGGTGTGAGTTACTCTGACAATAGCATGTTGACGCAGGCAGTGCCACCGTTTTCCAGTTATACAAAAAAGCCTTTCTGTGGAAGGGTATTTTTGGAGAGCTTGTCCCTGAAGGCAGGAAGTGGCTTTTATATTCATTCACTGCAGTGCAGGTTAATGAAAGGCATGGTCTGTTTGCAGAGGTAGGTCAATGGAGCGCTGCTGTGCCCATAAAAGGTCAAGAGGATTTTGCAACAGGTTATTTATTACAGGAGGACACTTTATTGTTTAGAATGGATTTGTCCCATGAACAATTTGCTTCCATTCTCACAGCTGCTGCATTACGTTTTTCCAAATGTATCCTACAAAGCCATTGCAACAAATCAAACCGCTTCAAACAAATCTCCAATTATTAGAGCCACTTATGCAAAGGGTGTAGCTGCTTTGTCCTTGACCGTCCCCTAGAGATCCACTGTACACAGATCTTCAAAGACTGGCACGCACTGTGTGTGTGTGTGTGTGTGTGTATCTCTCTCTGTGTGTGTGTGTGTGTGTGTGTGTGTGTGTGTGTGTGTGTGTGTGTGTCTCTGTGTGTGTGTGTTTGTGTGGCCTAGCATTACTATACTTGTGGGGACTTACACAGTCACGTGTGGGGACTCTCCTCCCTTATAATAATAATAATAATGCATTATATATTTGATTGGAGCGCTTTTACAGGTGCTCAAAGCGCTTTACAATTACATATTACACATATTAGACATGTACATGTCATTACTGTGCATTACCCACTGTACCCACACCTATGGGGACAAAATGGAGGTCCCCATGAGGGGAATCATTAATTTGGGTGAAGACTTGGTTACTGTAGGTTTAGGGTTAGGGTTAGTTTAAGGGTAAGGGTTAGGGTTAGGCACGTGTTGGTTATTGTTAAGGTTAGGATAAGACTCCAGAAAATGCATGAAAGTCAATGTAATGTCCCCTGAAGTGATGCATGGTGTGTGTGTGTGTGTGTGTGTGTGTGTGTGTGTGTGTGTGTGTGTGTGTGTGTGTGTGTGTGTGTGTGTGTGTGTGTGTGTGTGTGTGTGTGTGTTGTGTGTGCGCGTGCGTGCGTGCGTGCGTGCGTGCGTGCGTGCGTGCGTGTGTGTGTGTCATTCAGATCTCAGTGAGGGTTAAAACACAATCACACATGCAGCATTGTTCTAGTGTCATGCATTACTGCTCTGAAGTTATGAAAACATTGTG